CACATCGACATTTACATACAAATAGACCTGCAAAGACACATACATACACATACACACGCATACACACGTACATACATACATACATACATACATACATACATACATACATACATACATACATACATACATATACACCTACATACAAACATACAAACATACATGCTTACATGCATACATACTTACATACATATCTACATACGTACATATGTACATACAGACAGACATACATACGTACATGCATGCCTGCATGCATTTATGCATGCATGCATGCATTCATGCATGCATTTATGCATACATACATCCAGCCGGGTCCTAAACACCCAAATGTATATGCAAATGGGGCATGCAAAACAACCAAGCGTCACAAGTTTTCCCCTTTTTGAGAGTGTCCCGATTCAGGATGTCGTTTTGTGGCCTGGCAGCTGATCGGCAGCACACTTGGGACATGTCGCAAGCTTATACCAGCCCTAAACCCTAAACCCTAAAATGGGGACTGCCAAAGACCTCAAGTCTGAACTCAACCGTCATGTAGCCTGATGAGTCGCGTGAGACGACGTACCTGCAGGCTGCGGAAGGTACGATCCCGTCGAGGTTCGGACTGCAGGGGGTTTTGGGGTAATACTTATTCCACAATGGCGCCTGTACTAGAACTACTGCGCTGGCTGTTTAATTCATCTCTTGTTCAAATGCTATATCAGACATGCCCAACCCACAACCGCCAGGTCAAAACGATGCTTCGCAGCACAGAACGAATCGAAGCAAGATTGCCAGTCTGTGCTGCAGGACATAATATAGGGGCCTCAATAATTAGAATAGGGTTTGGTGGTATAGTATACTATAATTATCATAAGGATCCCCCCAAAACTCTATTCTAATTATCAAGGCCTCTACTATAATTATCATAAGGATCCCCCCAAAACCCTACTCTAATTATTAGGGCCTCTACATTCGGTGCTCCCCTAAACCCTAAACCCTAAACCCTAAACCCTAAACCCTAAACCCCAACTCCTCCAGAGCTGCGACCCGGTTGTCGAGCCCCCGGCAGCTACTGATGACACGCCGGCGCCTGCTCTTGAACCACTAGGGTAGTTCTCTAAATTAGGGTCCCTTAGGGTTTAGGGTTTAGGGTTTAGGGTTTAGCCTAAACCCTAAACCCGTTCTCTAAATTAGGGTCCCTGTTAGGGGGTCCTTAAAGACATCGATAAGGATTCCTATAGGGTTGGTTTCTGTAAGGGTACTATAAGAGGCAGTTCTCTAAATTAGGGCCCCTTTTAGGGTCCGATTTACAAGGGTGCCGTACTATTTGGGGACCGAAAAGGGGACCCTAATTTGGAGAACTACCCTCTAGGAGATATGGATGAGGCCGCTACCGGCTGAGCTGCAGCTGCCGCCCATGTCACCAACCCAAGAGGGTCCATATATACTACTATGATGGAATTAGGTCCCCAAAACCATAATAAGGATGGTCTTTGGGGACCTAATTCCATAATGGTAATGTATATGGACCCTCTGGGAACACAGATTCGTCCGCAGCTGCCGAAAAGTGTCCGCCAGCACGCGCGGAGCACCCTAAAAAGCTGGCAACAACATTAGAAGCCCCAGCTGCCCTAGCAGTTCAGGGTGTAGGGTTTAGGAGCACAGGAACCTACTTAAACACTAGCTGTTACAAATGTATGGTGTCTTCTCCCCCATATAATTTCTTTGCGGGCTGCAGGTACTAAACCCTAAACCCTCAACCGTAAACCCTCCAGTAGATACAAATTCTTATACCTGAAATTAAACTAGGAGTTTCGGGTTCATGCAGCCAGGAGCTTGTGTCTCTCGCGGAAACATCTCACTCAAACCCGAAGCCCTAAAACCCTAGAATCCTAAACTGCATTTCAGCCCTGCACGCTGTTGTATGGGACCTAGGATGGGGCTTTGCTTTTCAAGCCGTGTGACCCGACGATGCGCAGGCTCACGACTGCTACACTACAGCTATAACCGAAGTCTGAAACAGGCGTCCCATACCCTGAACCCTGAACCCCATAGCCATACCCTAGACCCAAAGGAAACCATGGCTTAAAACCTCTAGTCAGACTTGTCGAAACCTTTAGACTTTGAGCTCAACGTATAAGAGTTCTGGTTGCAGAGCATCCGAACAGAGGAACGCCCCAGTTTTTAAACACAGCAGCGCTCCATACTCCTAGGACATTTTCAGGTGGGTAGTTACCGTTATAGGAGCCTTATAGAAGCCCTATAGACCTTATAAAAGACTTATAGAAGCCCTATATACCCTAAAATCCCCACCTGTAGCCACGGTTTAGGGTTTAGGGTACAACCCAAAACCATTTTAGGCTACTGCCGATGTTACGAGTACCCGTTCGTAACCCCTCAAAAAAGCTAACAAAGGACATAAAATCAATGAAACCACTGCGACTATTCAGTTTGGCCAGGGAGCCCCGACAGCGCAAACAAAGGAAAGGATGCTACCGAGAGCGAAAGTTGAAAAATATTCGCTTATAAAAATCCTTTCGTGATACCTCATAGCAGACTTCTATAGTGGCCATGAACGGGATACTATTATGAACCCCTATAAACCCTAAACCCCTAAATAATTCGACAGCTATATTATAAACAGAATGTAGGAGCCTTCGTGATTAGAATAGGGTTTTTGGGGTATATTGTACTAGAAATATGATAAGGAACCACCAAAATAGTATTGGTATCTCTAAACCCTAAATCCTAAACCCTAAACCCTAAACGGCCCCTAAATTACAACTGACCCCAGAGAAAGGGCACGTCTCCGTTTCAGCTTTGGCTCCAGGGAGAAGCCACCTGACGTCTAAAAGGCTTTGGGTTTAGAGTTTTTTTATGTGAGGGTTTAGGGTTTAGGGCTTAGGGTTTTATGTTTTAGGGCTTAGGGTTTAGGGTTTAGGTTTAGGGCTTAGGGTTTAAGGCTTAGGGTTTCGGGTTTACGGCTCAGGGATTTAGGGTTTAGGGCTTTGGGCCTAGGGTTTAGGCGGTTTGGGTTCGTTTGGAGGCTTTTGTCAGCTGTAAGGCCTTAGGCTTGAGGCTCTTAGTGCTTTATATACGGCTTGTGTTTGGCTTTATCTCTGGCGATAAGGGCCTGCATTTCTCTGGTGATTGGTGTGGGCTTTCTGCTGAGTTATCTGGACTTCATGGTGCCCGGTGCCATGTTAGAGGTCAGCCCTGGCTGAGCTGGAGTCCTAGAGTTCGGCACTAGGGTTCAGGGTATCATCATCATCATCATCATCATCATCATCACTATCATCATCGTTGTTCTTGGTGTTGCTATTGTCGTTGTTGTTGACATGAAACCACTCGCCGCCCCGAAGGGCGTGCACCTTTCGCGCGGGTGGGTTTGGGAGGGTCGGATGTCCAGCCCCGGGAGGGAGCCAAGTTGCCCAGTAGTTGCAGTGCCTTTGCATCTTCGATTACGTTTTGCGGTTGCGGTGAAGACGAGAGGGGTCCTCCAAATGCTGTAATTTACAGCATTTGCTGGTTTACGATGTTGTCGGAAAGGCAAGCAGTTGTGGTAATTTACAGCATTTTCTGCTTCAGCTGAAAGCTTTTGTCATCGGGCACAAAAGGCACCAAGTCGTCAAGGGGGGTTGAGGCCGTTGTTCGAAACGCGCGTTTCGTGTGGGTTTATGCACATCGGTTTTCTTGCAGACGTCTAACACGGGGGCCGTTTCGGTGACCAGGTGTTTGTCTTGGCGGCAAAGCATCCATGGCCAAAACCGAAAGACATCTATGGTCTAGTGCGATTTGGGAAACCTAATGACTGGTGCTTTTGCGGTGTTTGTTAAAGCTTGTGTTGGGGATTTCTAGCTTGGGTGGGAGGGGTGGGTGGAGGCTTGATTGCGTTCTTGGTCCACTGCCCGCTGCCTTTCGTTTTGCATAGCTGTGCCTCTCGCTGACCACATGCATGTTCCAACAATCGAGTGGCGCCGATCTCATGTTGTTCTTGTTGCTGCTGTTGTTGTTATTGTTGTTGTTGCACTGTTGTTGTTGTTGTTGTTGTTGTTGCTGTTGTTGTTGTTGTTGTCGTTGCTGCTGCACTGTCTTCGTTGTTGTTGTTGTTGTTGCTGCTGCTGCTGCTGCTGGTGGCGTTGTTGTTGTTGTTGTTGCTGCAGCTGTTGATGTTGCATCTGTGGTGATGGTGGTGGTGGGTGGTGATGGTGGTGGTGGTGGTGGTTATTGGTGGTGGTGGTGGTGGTGGTGGTGGTGGTGGTGGTGGTGGTGGTGTCGTTGATGAAGGTGTCGTTGTTAGTGTTGTTGTTGGTGTCGTCGTTGTCGTTGTTGCTGTTGCTGGGTGTTGTTGCTCTTGCTCTTGCTCTTGCTCTTGCTCTTGCTCTTGCTCTTGCTCTTGCTCTTGCTCTTGCTCTTGCTCTTGCTCTTGCTCTTGCTCTTGCTGTTGCTGTTGCTGTTGCTGTTGCTGATGCTGTTGTTTGTGATGTTGTTGGTGGTGGTTTGTGATGTTGTTGCACCTGCTGCTGCTGGTGCTGTTGTTGTTGTTGTTGTTGTGGTTGTTGTTGTTGTTGCTGTTGCTGTTGCTGTTGTTGTTGGTGTTGTTGTTGTTGGTGGTGGTGGTGTTGTTGTTGTTGTTGGTGGTGGTGGTGGTGGTGGTGTTGGTGTTGGTGTTGTTGTTGTTGTTTTGTTTTTTTTG